TGGCGCCTTTCGGCTCTAAATCCCAGATTCCATGAAACGGCTCTGGGAGCGGTACATGCTTTTTTTAATATATTGGTTATATAGGGTTTAGGGTTTAGGGTTTAGGGTTTTGGTTATATATACTTATAGGGGCTGAGTAGGTAACCTTTAACCTTTTGGGGCTTATAAAATCCTAGTATAATTCAAAAGGTTAACTAACCTTGTTGGGCTAGGGTACTCAGCCCCTGAGTATAGGCATCCCATGATCTATCCCAAATTACGTCTTGGGTTACGCGTCGAGTATAAATCTCCACCCGAAGCCCTACGTAAGTTGGCAGTTGAACAAAAAGCGAATCCTTAGAATCGACGGTTGAGGGTTCAGGGTTGTGGTTTTAAGGAGAAGGCCTGCTGTTGAGGAGTGGTCGCTGGCACACAATCCAAGCCCGTGCTGAAAACGGGTTTAGGGTTTAAGGTTTTGGTCTGGTTAGACTTGGGTCCAGTAGCAGAAATATTAGGGATTTGCGAGGACTGCAGCCGGGAGGTCTTGGGCATCGTGGATTCCGTCATCAACCTGGTTCAGAATCCAAGCTGTTTGGGTAATATCGGGGCCTTGATCATTAGAATAGGGCTTTGGGGTATATTATGATATAATTGTAATAGGGAACCCTAAACCCTAAACCCTAAACCGCAAACCCCTATCCTAATCATCAAGGCCCCTACATTAAGGGCTTCCGAAGGCTTCGAGGGAAGGATGCCGAAGGCTTTTACTGCGCCCCGGGCTTTGTGGTTTCAGAAGCCAGGCTAGGGTTTAGGGTTTAGGGCAGGTTCTGGGTATTTCGCAGGGCCATACGATATAGACCGCAACTGCGGATACAGTCTATCCTTCAAAAAGTCAGCATTGAACTGTGTCCTCAACAAGTGAGTTTGAGCATAGCCACCGGTAGTGAACACTTGGTGGAGATGTTAGCCATTTGTTAAAGGACCTATATTTATCTCTGTATCATATATATATATATATACTTATTTATTTATTTATTTTTATTTATTTGTTTATTTATACACAAATATACCGGCCGATACCAGCATCAATAACAGTATCGCCATCGCCATCTCTCTCGCTATCACTGTCTCCATATGTATCGCTATCACTATCTCCATATCTGTCTCTCTGCCTCTATATCTGCATCTATGCCCTTCTACATCCACATGTGCATATATATATATATACCTATCTATCTATCTATCTATCTATCTATCTATCTATATCTATATCTATATCTATATCTATATCTATATATATATATATATATCATGCATTTATGTATAAACATCTTCGATGGTGCGAAAACCGAGGAAAGCTGGAGGGCATGTGGATCAACTGGAGGTCCGGCCGCCGCTATGTAACAGCAAACCCAGAGACTCCAAAGTCCCTTAATTAGGGAATATACCCTAAATCATATCAAGGATCCTGTTTTAGTTTAAGGAATATTCCTTAATTAACGGAATTAAGGGATAATTAAGGAATATACCTTAAATCATATAAAGGATCCTATATTTCAATTCAGGAATATTCCTTCATTAAGGGATATTGGAGTCCCTATGTACCAGCAAACGACTGTGTCAAGGGTATCTTGCGGTTTTATGTTCACAAGGCCTCGCTGTTTTTGCCATGTGGAAGGCGGTGTTGCGTCTTCTCGTGTGTGCTTCGGGTTGCTGGAGATTCTTTACTGTCGTATGATAGTGATTGATCACTTTGTGTGTGTTCTTCTCCTTCAAGTTCGATTTGTCTCGGGTATTGACCCTAAACCTTAAACCCTAAACCCTAAACCCTAAACCCATTGCCCTACACCCTAAACCCGTCTGAGCGCTTGCAGCCAAAGCCCCAGTTCTGGCACGCCTGAGCCGGAAGGCTGAGCCCGGGAACCCCACTGTCTCAACTGTCTGGTGCTTAGTAGGGAATGGGGGAATGGATCCCTATGATAGTCCCTTAAGGTCCCTTATTGTGGTCCCTATAACCCAGTCCCCCATTCCCTACTAAGCACCAGACAGTCAAACCGCCTTCAAGGCCTTCACTGCCTTCAAACCCCGCTTCTTACACCACAAAAACTACAGATTGAAAAGCTTGTCATACTCGTCTTTAGGGTTCCTTTCTACAGCTCTCCTAGACAATACCCCAAAACCCTGTTCTTTGGTTTTCTGGCCAAGCCTCTGTAAGGATTGAGTTCTTTGAGGTACCTAGGCTCGGAAGTCTTAAAACTCCCCGATCCGACCCACTTTAGCACCTTAAACATAGAAAATGAGGTAACAACACGAAACCAACACAAGCCCCCAACAAAGAACATGCAAAAAGCAGCGAGCAACTCATCCAAATTCCTAAACCCCCCCCCCCTCCCCTTCTTACCCAAAAACCTTTGTTTTGGGATCCCCTAAACCGTAACTAAACCCTAAACCCTAAAACCTCTGTCCCTGTCGCTTACCAGTACAGATGGGGCAGGATGACGGTGGGGCGTCATTTTCTTTCGCCTAGTGCAGTGCAAGCCTGACAGACAGGCCGGGTGCGAGAGTCAAAGGCCCATTGCATTTAAAAAAAACCCTAAAGCCAGAAATCCTAAATCCTAAACGGAGGTGCGGCGTTCTGCCAAGGAAGCGCTTCAGCGCTTCGAGGTCTCCGAGGCGGAGTGGCTTGGGCCTTTTGCTTAGGGGTTTAGGGTTTGGGGTTTAGGGTTTAGCGTTCAGGGGTTCGGGTTTAGGGTTTGGGGTTTAGGGTAGTTCTCCAATACCCAAGCTTAAGACTTTAAACTTATTGGGGTTTAGGGGTTAGGGTACTTAGTAGTCTGGTAGTTTTCCATCCTTCAAACGTTTTGGGTGTTAGGGCTTAGGGTACATAGTAGTACTCCGGAAGTTTAACCTTTTATAAACTTTAAACTTTTTGGGCTTAGGGTTTAGGGTACTTAATAGCCAGGCGCGACATGCAAGCCTGATGTAAAAAGGGTACTTAGTAGTAACCTGAGAAAGTTTGACCTTTTTTTCCCTGGCTTCTTGGGGAAGTAAGTTCC